ATACCCTCACCACACTGTGGTACAGGGTATTATGTCTTTGTGCATATGTTTGTAACAGGCAAAAGGAAACGAGATAGACACATGGTTCCTTTTGAGAATATGCATAGAATCACTTTCTAAGTCGATTTATGCATGTCCGTCCGTCCGTCCGTCTGTCCGTCTGTCTGTCTGTCTGTCCATGTTAAATTGTAAACAAAGTACAGGTCGCATTTATGATCCGAATTGAATGAAATTTGGTATAGGTCACTTATTCGGCCCAAGGACGAACCCTATTGAAATTGGGAAAAATCGGTTCAGATTTAGATATAGCTCCCATATATATATTTAACCGATTTAATGTAAACGGCCCCTATATATCTTTCGATTTGCACGAAATTTGGTACAGCTTAATCATTTAGGTCTAGAATGATGTCTGCCAAGTTTCGTGAAAATCGGTCCAGATTTAGATATAGCTCCCATATATAGTTTCGTCCGATTTCATGTATATGGTGCCCCAAAGTTCCTATATATCTTTTGATTTGCACGAAATTTGGTATAACGTACTGAATTAAGCCTAGAGTGATGTCTGCCAAGTTTGGAGAAAATCGGTCCAGATTTAGATATAGCTCCCATATATAGTTTCGTCCGATTTCATGTAAAAGGTGCCCCAAAGTCCCTATATACCTTTCGATTTGCGCGAAATTTGGCATAACGTACTGAATTGAGCTTAGAATGATGTCTAACAAATTTGGAGAAAATCGGCCCAGATTTAGATATAGCTCCCATATATAGTTTCGTCTGATTTCATGTAAATGGTGCCCCAAAGTCCGTATATATCTTTTGATTTGCACGAAATTTGGCATAACGTACTGAATCAAGCCTAGAGTGATGTCTGCCAAGTTTGGAGAAAATCGGTCCAGATTTAGATATAGCTCCCATATATAGTTTCGTCCGATTTCATGTAAATGGTGCCTCAAAGTCCCTATATAACTTTCGATTTGCACGAAATTTGGCATAACGTACTGAATTAAGCCTAGAGTGATGTCTGCCAAGTTTGGAGAAAATCGGTCCAAATTTAGATATAGCTCCCATATATAGTTTCGTCCGATTTCATGTAAATGGTGCCTCAAAGTCCCTATATAACTTTCGATTTGCACGAAATTTGGCATAACGTACTGAATTGAGCCTGGAATGATGTCTACCAAGTTTCGAGAAAATCGGTCCAGATTTAGATATAGCTCCCATATATAGTTTCGTACGATTTCATGTAAATGGTGCCCCAAAGTCCCTATATATATTTTGATTTGCACGAAATTTGGCATAACGTACTGAATTAAGCCTAGAGTGATGTCTGCCAAGTTTGGAGAAAATCGGTCCAGATTTAGATATAGCTCCCATATATAGTTTCGTCCGATTTCATGTAAATGGTGCCTCAAAGTCCCTATATAACTTTCGATTTGCACGAAATTTGGCATAACGCACTGAATTGAGCCTAGAATGATGTCTACCAAGTTTCGAGAAAATCGGCCCAGATTTAGATATAGCTCCCACATATAGTTTCGTACGATTTCATGTAAATGGTGCCCCAAAGTCCCTATATAATTTTCGATTTGCACGAAATTTGTCATAACGTACTGAATTGAGCCTAAAATGATGCTAAGTTTCGTGAAAATCGGTCCAGATTTAGATATAGCTCCCTTTTATTATAGATTGATTTTAAGTAATTGACGTACTAAGGAACCAATAGAAACAAAACGTTCTGAAATTAGTATAACCTAACCTGTGACAAGTTTGTTTGAAATCGCTTAATATTTGGATAGAGCTTCCATATATATTTTCGACCGATTTCAAGTAAATTGGGCATCAGACTCCTCATGTTAGTCAGATTGACATCAAATTGTGCACAACGCACAAAATTGAGCATACAATTACGTAGTTGCGTTTTCTAGAAGTACAGACATAGCCCAACGGACTTATTTATATTTGTTTGAAGTCGATTAACATACTTTATGGATAGATCTAGGTAGATTCACATTTAGATAAATATTACTTTTTTCATCCAATTACATGTTAATAGTCCTGTTTAATATACCCATAGTGGTGAAGGGTATCATATAGTCGGCCCCGTCCGACTTTACTACTTTCCTTACTGGTTTTATATTATTTTTAAAGACGTGGATTTTTAAAAAATGTTTTTTTTTTCAAAATTATTTTTAAAGACGTGGATTTTTTTCAAAATTATGTTTAAAGGCGTGGATTTTTCTTTTAGAATTATTTTTAAAGACGTGGATTTTTTAAAAATTATTTTATACACTCCACCATAGTATGGAGGGTATATTAATTTTGTAATTCCGTTTGTAACTCATCGAAATATTCATTTCCGACCCTATAAAGTATATATATTCTTGATCAGGGTAAAATTCTAAGACGATCTAGCCATGTCCGTCCGTCCATCTGTTGTAATCACGCTGAATTTTCTGAAGGAATTGAGATAGGGTGTTGAAATTTTGCATAGGTTTGTCTTGTCTCCAGGCAGGTCAAGTTCGAAGATGGGATATATCGGTCCACGTTTAGACATAGCTCCCATATAAGGGTACCCCCTTGGGGTTTGGGGTTCTTGAACGCGTTTTTCAGCCGAATTCGCTGAAATTTGCTACATTGGGTTCTTATTGGGTCCTCGATGTCTCCACAGAAAATTATAAATATAGGTCCACTTTTTCTGGTTGCCCCCATAAAACTGTACCTCCCAATCTTCAGTATTTTGGGGATTTTGATCGTATTTTCCCGCCGAATTAACTGTAATTTAGTATTTTGAGTTCTTAATAGGCACCAAATCTCTCCACAAAAAATTATGAATATAGGTGAATTTCTTCGGACAGCCTCCATATAAGGGTACCCCCAATTTTCGGTATTTTGGGGTTCTTGAACGCGTTTTTCAACCGAATTTGCAATTTGGTATTTTGTAGCCGTATATGGTAACTAATCTCTCTACCAAAAATTATTAATATTCGCCCCCTTTTTGGGGTAGTCCCCATATAACTCCCTTTTTTATATTAAAATAGTTATCTGATTTGTTCCGCGTTTTGAGTTTGGTTCTAAGACTCTGTTGTAATCATTTCACCTCCGGAGGATAGCGAGATAAAAAATTAGAAATTAAGGTTCGATAATGAACTATAGCCGCATTTAGACCTAGTCACTGTGTGGAGGTTTCAGAAGGAGTGCACCGATATTCCCCATCTTCGAATTTGAATTATCAATTAAAAATTTATGAAATTTGTATTATGGTTTACATAATCCGTTTTTAGACATGTCGGTATAGGTCCACTTTTTGGTATGTTCCCTATATTTTCATTTCTAGTGCCTGTCAGTATATCTATGGTGGAGGGTATCCAAAGTTCGGCCCGGCCGAACATAACGCTTTTTCACTTGTTATAATATAAGGCGCTGTGATGTTAGATTATGGAACTTCCCACTAAAGACTTTAATAAGAAATTTTCAAAATATAAAAAATACATTTTATTAAAAAAAAATCACAATCAAAAGAAAATAGTTTTTAAACACAAATTATCAGTTACACTCTTCATGCATCTTACACATCTACAGACTGGTTATTTCGGAACCTCCGTTTTGTATGGCAGCATTATTACCATTTTTATGGCCATTTTCCACTTTGCCAGCTGTATCGGCTTCTGGCATCTGGGCGTTACGACGTCTTACAACAAAATAACAAATACTGTTCCGAATTTCAAAAGCACAGTCAGAAGAAAATTGAAAACCAAATGTTCACAAAGAAAACATATGGAGAAAAGAAAAGAGAGAAAGAATTAAAAATTTTCCAAATTTAGGTTAGATTTTGCAATTAAAGGCTTTGATTAAATATACTAACATAAAGACAATGATGCTGGATATCGCAAACACTACGCTGAAGAGGAAAATTGTACCGGGGAATGAATTTACAGTATTTTCATATATAGAACTATAGATGCGTACGAAACACATTTGGGCGAATGGAATACAGATTCTGAATAGTGAGAACATTTTACCTAGAATAAGAGAGGTAAAACGTTAGGGATTTGAATAATTAAGTTTTCAAAGTGCTACATACTCAGGTCATTGGCATCCACAATACTTGAACCCATTGTCTTAATGGCAATACCAGGCAAGGCGCCAAAAGCATCTGCTACAGCACCAGCATAAAATGTGGCAGTGTTACTGGCAAATCCCTGAAAGAGAAAAAATACTCTTAAAGAAAAAAACAACGTCTCTTATGATTAAAAAAAAAATAATAAAAAATACGGCTTGAGTTTTGCCATAAAAATAATTTTTTAAAAACAACATTTTTTATATATATAATAAAAATAAATTAATATAATTATGGAAATAAATTAAAAAAATCACTCCTATATGTACGCTAAGAAAATAAATTAAAAATATTTTTTTGTAAAAAATCCAAGCCTTGAGTTATGCTACAAAAATATTTTTGAAAAATCCAAGCCTTGAGTTATGCTACAAAAATGTTTTGGACAAATCCACGCCCTAATGTGTGCTATAAAAATTATTTAAAAAAAATGCACGCCTTCAATAATATACTCCTTGAGGGCCCTTTAAAAATATATATATTTTAAAGATCTACGCCTTGAAGGCCCTTTAAAAAATATTTTTTTAGAAATCTTCTCTTTGAAGGTCTGTTAGAAAATATATTTTTTTATATCTACGCCTTGAGAATAGTTTTAAAGATTTTTTTGCTTAAATTTACCCCTTGAGAATATTTTAAAGATTTTTTCTTAAATCTACGCCTCGTGGTCCCTTTTAAAAAATATATTATTTTTTTTAAATCTACGCCTTGTTGGCGCTTTAAAAAAGTGTCTTCATAAAATCTATGCCACTGATGGTCATTGAATAAATAGTCTTTAAAAAGCCTTGATGGTCCTTGAAATCTACGTGATTTTGGCCGTTAAAAAATATTTTTTTTAATCTATCGAAATAAATACATCAAAAAAGTATTCCTAAAAATATTTCCCCAAAAGAAAGTGGCCTTCATCTTAGTCTTTAAAATATTTTCGATACTTACAAAAATCACTCTCGATAAGGCTGTAAACAGGGTGGCTACAATACCTATCAAGGCATCGGAAAGTTTCAGCAATTTACTAAAAATGGTAGTTCCAATAAGGGTACCTAGACAAAAAAAAAAAAACATTACAATTTTCCACTTTCTCCTACCCTCTCTCCGCCTCTCTTTGAATCAGCATATCCAACTTACCCACCACAGTCAAGGCCGAATTAAATGTTGAGTAGGCGCTATAGTCATCGCCATTCCAATTCAGTTTTTTAAATGTAAAACTTTTCCAGAACTCACTCTCTCCGACTGCCGGAAAAATAATAAAAATCTCGGCCATAATTAAAAGCAGCAAAAGCATACGACCACGATTTGGACGTTTTTTCAATGGAAATTTCACATAATCCACAGCAAATGTGGGATCAAAGAAATCCAAAAGGGCATTACGTTTTGCGGGTTTTGAGCTTGGAGATTTGTCCACGGTATCAATGACATTGTTTTTGTGTCTTGGTGCAGTGGGCAGATCTTCTAGTTGCGTTACTTCATAGGCGGGATTTTCCGTACCAGTTTTAGGCGAGGCATCTGCGGTGTCCGTCTTCGTTGCCAGTGGCTTGAGTTCTTTGATTATGAATATAACATAGAGCAAGCCAATGATGTCGATGGACAAGGCGAAGATAAAGGACCCTTGTGGAGGAAACAATAAGAAACGAAAATTATTTAATAAACCAGTAAGGAAAGTAGTAAAGTCGGACGGGGCCGACTATATGATACCCTTCACCACTTTGGGAATATTCTACATATGTATCCTAACAGACATAGCTTGTTATTATTATAGACGTAAGTATGCTATGCTAAATTTCGTGCAAATCGAAAGATATATAGGGCCTTTGATGCACCAATTACCTTAAATAATATATATATATATATATATATATATTTATACAAAAGATATATAGGGACTTTAGTGGACTATTTACCTAAAACCGGGCAAAACTATATATGGAAGCTATATCTAAATCTGAACCGATTTTCACGAAACTTTGCACACATCATTCTAGACTTAATTCAGTACGCTATGCCAAATTTCGTGCAAATCGAAAGATATATAGGGACTTTAGTGGACTATTTACCTAAAATCGGGTGAAACTATATATGGGAGCTATATCTAATTCTGAACCGATTTTCACGAAACTTTGCACACCTCATTCTAGACTTAATTCAGTACGCTATGCCAAATTTCGTGCAAATCGAAAGATATATAAGGACTTTGGTACACCATTTACCTTAAATCGGAGGAAGATATATACGGGAGCTATATCTAAATCTGAACCGATTTTCACGAAACTTTGTACACATCATTCTAGACTTAATTTAGTGCGCTTTGGTACGCCATTTACCAAAAATCGGGCGAAACTATATATGGGAGCTATATCTAAATCTGAACCGATTTTCACGAAACTTGGCACACATCTTTCGTGGCTCAATTCAGTACGCTATGCCGAATTTCGTGCAAATCGAAAGATTTTCAGGGTATTAAGTCCGTAAATCGGGCGAAACTATATATGGGAGCTATATATAAATCTGAACCGATTTTCACGAAACTTGGCACACATCTTTCGTGGCTCAATTTAGTACGCTATGCCAAATTTCGTGCAAATCGAAAGATTTTCAGGGTCTAAAGTCCGTAAATCTGGCAAAAATATATATGGGAGCTATATCTAAATCTGAATCGAATTTTCCCAAATTCAATAGGGTTCGTCCTTGGGCCGAATAAGTGACCTATTCAAATTTCATCCAATTCGGATCATAAATGCGACCTGTACTTTGTTTACAATTTAACATGGACAGAAGGACGGACGGACATGCATAAATCGACTCAGAAAGTGATTCTATGCATATTCTCAAAAGGAACCATGGGTCTATCTCGATTATTTTTGCCTGTTACAAACATATGCACAAAGACATAATACCCTGTACCACAGTGTGGTGAAGGGTATAAAAATAAAATAAAATACTGTCCTGCTCAGTACTTACATGTATAGCCTAGATACTTGAAGAGTGTCCCACTCACGGGTTGACCTATTAAGGGTATGACGGTGTTACACACACTATAAATGCCGAACCTGCAAAAGAGGAAAATATATATTAATTTCAAAGGCAGCTTTATATCCTGCACCAAAAAAAAGAAAATATTTTTTTCCAAGGACTAACCAGGCATGGATTTTTTAAAGAAAATATTTTCCAAGCGCCAACAAGACGTACATTTTTGAAAGAATATTTTTGCAAGAACCAACAAGGCGTAGATTTTTGAAAGAATATTTTTGCAAGGACTAACAAGGCGTGAATATTTGGAATAATATTTTTTTCAAGAACTCTTTTTGTCCACTTACCTAAATACACGATCTGCTTCCGGAGTCGATATTGTCATATAACTATCAATGGCCATGAAGAGTAAAGTGTATCCACCAAACATGCTTGGGACAATTGCCTCACTGTATGCTCCAAATTCCATTGGGAGTTTATCGAAAAATATTGCCGATACTAATAAAACTGCAATGCGGAATTGTTTATTTAAAAATAGTGAATTTGCATATGTTTTTTTCTGGGTCTCTATACTTACACACATACATGAAAATGTCACCGATAATGGGGAATATCATACAGGCCTTGCGTTTATTATAGCGATCACTCCAGCCGCCAGCGAAAAGCATCACGATCGCAGGGAAAATTGAAGCTAAAACAAAGGGTGGGTATGTTAGAAAAACAAACAGAAATTAATAACAAAAAAAAAACAGTAAAGTAGTAAAGTCGGGCTGGGCCGACTATATGATACCCTTCACCACTTTGGGTATATTCTACATATGGGTATTCTCAATTTTTTTTTTTTTTTTTTTTGATTTGATCTTTATCAATAAATGAACCGACTAACATCAATCCATATACATGCTTTTCTGCAACCTATGCTAAATTTCAATGGGACAAATTTGGGTTAATATATTTATAGGACACTTGATTCGATACTATTCGATAATATCAATCAGACACCCGTTCGAAATATATGTGGCAGCTATGTCTGCATCTGCACCCATTACAAAAAAAGCGCAATCAATCTGGTTTCAATTGAATACGTTGAGCAAAATTTCGTGTCAATCGGAGGAGTTTGGTGCACCATTTACCTAAAATCGGACGAAAATATATATGTGACAGATATATCTAAATCTGCATTATCAGGAAATTCTAAACTTAAGTCAGTACGCTATGTCAAACTTCATGCAAATCGAACGGTATATAGGGACTTTGGTACACCATTTACCTTAAATCGGGCGAAAATATATATGGGAGCTATATCTAAATCTGAACCGATTTTCACAAAACTTAGCACACATCATTCTAGACTTAATTTAGTACGCTGTACGAAATTTCGTGCAAATCGAAAGATATTTAGGGACTTTGGTACACCATTTACCTTAAATCGGACGAAAATATATATGGAAGCTATATCTAATTCTGAACCGATATTTCCCAATTTCAATGGGGTTCGTCCTTGGACCAAATGAATAAGCGACCTGTACTGTGTTCACAATTTAACATGGCCAGACAGACGGACGGACGGACATGCATAAATCGACTTAGAAAGTGATTCTATGGATATTCTCCAAAGGAACCATGCGTCTATCTCGTTTCCTTTTGCCTGTTACAAACATATGCACAAAGACATAATACCCTGTACCACAGTGTGGTGAAGGGTATAAAAATTAAGTTTTTTGTTCGAAAGACCTCTCAATATGATTTTCTTTTATGGGCGGTCTCCCAACAGGAATGGTTTCTTAAGTCAATTTTTTAAAAATCTATCAAAAAGTACAGATTCAAAAAACAAAAAAGTGATTTTTTTAAATATTTTAAGGGTCAATTATAAGGGTAGATTTTTTTGAACATATAAAACGTAACTATTTTAAAAAAGTTTTTAAGGGATTTTTCGAATGTATTTTTTAGAGGTCTGCTATGAGCTTGGAGTTAAAAAAAATTTAACTTCGATTTTTCCAAGTATTTTTTAACAGGTCAGCTATACCTGAAAGTTTTTGGAAAAATATATTTTCTAGTGTTCAGTTATAAGCCTGGATATTTTAAACGTATTTTTAGGGGCAGATTTAAGCGTCAGTTATAGGCGAGGATTTTGTTTAAAAATACTTTTTAGGGGTTCAGCTACAAGTGTGTCTGTTGCTCAGTCGGACCAAAATTGGGAGTTTGGTGCACCATTTACATTAAATCGAACGAAACTATATATGGGAGCTATATCTAAATCTGAACCGATTCCAACAAAATATCGTATACGTCAATCTGGACCTAATTCAGTACTCTGTGCAAAATTTTATTTCAATCAACATTTGCGCTGAGTGTTGAATTAGATCTGGATTGAGGTATGCTAAGTTTGGTTGAAATCGGTTCAGATTTAGATATAGCTCCCGTATATATTTTCCTCCGATGTTATGTAAATGGCGCACCGAGGAGTCTAGGTTCTATATTCACGCTACAGATTTGTTACACCGTCTATGATAAACTAAACTCTAATACGTCTGTGCTTATGAACTAAATTTCTATACATATGTGCACAGTGGTCCGTGTCAGTCTTGTAATTCATTATCTTCTCTTGCGGTACATTTATTATATTAAGCATTTCTAAAGTAAATCGTCGTTTATAGTTGTTTTCTTGTGTCAAAATATCAACGTCTTTGAAATTTGGCGTATGCCAAATTTCTGCAAGAGCCGTCTTTTGTTCTAATGGCTTGTCTGTATTTTGATCTGACTTATGTCCAGAAAGTCTTGTCTTTAGTTTGGTTTTTGTTGTACCAACATATACCTTTTGGCATAAGTTGTTGTTGTTGTTTATTTTTACCAATGTGAATGCATTTTGACTTAAATGGGGATTTAGTGTTAGCTATTGTTTTCAGCCCAGTTAGATATTTCTTCATTCTTCAAATCATCAATAATTATATTTATGGTAAATTGTAAATTGCTTGGGTGCGATCCTAGATATAACTGAACATCATCAGCATATATATGCAATTTGCAATGTGTCGTCAGTGACTCCGGTAGATCGTTGATATATGTATATGCTAAATAATAGAGGACCCAAAACTGATCCTTGGGGAACACCGTTTTTTTACAGGCAACTGCGAAGATAACATATTGTTATGAAAAACTGCTTGTGATCGGTTGCTCAAGTATGAGTTAATAAGATGGCATGCTGAGGCAAAGAATTTAAAAAACTTTTGAAGTTTCTGTAACAGAATGTTGTGATTTACAGTGTTAAATGCCTTGCTGAGATCTTGAAGAACGAGGAATTAATCTTGCATACTGTCTTTACATTACATCTCAGATCTTCAGTAACGTCTAAGAGAGCTGTAACACAGCTTCTGTTCTTTCTAAATCCAGACTGATGTGCAGTAAGCAAGTTGCTTTTAGTGAGATATTCATGAATTTGTTTGTACATCAATGTTTCCATAACCTTAGATATTATGGACAATAAAGCTAAAGATAAAGATTGAGATATTTAACGTAGACGAAAATACTAAATCTAATAGTTTCTCTTTAATATTCAATACGTCATTTAACTGGTAAAGGCAGAGTTCAAAAATTTTATCCCAAAAAGCATCGTATACAAGTGGATAAGTCGAGGGAACATAATCCAATATATTATCGCCCGGGATCCAAGCGACACCTGGAAGGTTGAAATCTCCCACGCAAATTAAAGAAGAATTGTTATTAAGTAACGAAGACACTTTTGCAATAAAATTAGCGTGATTTTAATATATATTTCAACTCCTGAATTGGGTGGAATGTAAGAACAAGTTAAGAATATAGTGCTACCAAGAAATGTCAATTTTGTAGGGACAAATTCAATATCCTGATCAACTGAAACTTCAACAAATTCAGAAGGAATCGTGTTATGAAGTGCAATAAGAACTCCTCCTCCTTTTTTAGATGTTCTATCTTTTCTAAAAGCTTGATAATTAACGGAAAATACCTCTGTATCGAGTACATCAGGTTTAAGCACATTTCTCAATTTAGTATTAAGGCCTCTGACATTTTGATATAGAATCGGTAAGACAATATTTAGTTTTTTGAAGCAGGTGGAATATTCACAGTTCTAGGAATGTATGGACGTTCCCTGAAAACAAACTCTTTTACCAAGATACCATCGGGCCAAAACGAATTGTTTACTATAGAATTTAAAAATTTGTTAGGAACTATTATTTTAAATGAAGCAATATCACGAGGTTGAGAAGAATTGAATTTAAAGATTTTTAAATCATTATCGGATAAATCGTTTATTTTAGATTTTACATAGTTAAATAAGCAACAGGCACCTGCAAAACTAGTTTAAATTTCAACGATTTCATTTCTTTAAGCAATATTGATATTAATAATAGATAATTAACTTTTTTCAAATTTGAAAATGTATGTGAAAATATGATAAGATTAATTTAATTTTTTTTTTTTTAAATAACTGCCTGTTTCAATATATTGTGTTATACGTAACGCATGATTGGTAACGCATAAACAAAGTTGTTGGCAACACTGTATGTTGGTATAGTAGTTGGCAATAAGAATGACATTTAGTTAAAACCTTCTCCTTCTACACGAGTGATCAGGCACAGGTTGTTGGGAGCAGCGAAAGAGAGTATTTAATTGATCTATGGAATCAATGGTGATGAGATTATCTGCATCATCGCGTTTCACAAAAACGAGCCCGCGTAAATTGAAAGCAGCTGATATGAGTTTTTTTCTTTTTTATGTTTAGTGCTGCTTTGAGAATTTTGTAGTTGGTGTTAGTGAGGTCCTCATTAATGAAGAAAGAGCCTTCGGTGTCGAAATCAGCGAGACGCAAAGGCAATTGAGTTTTGTTGTGCCTTTTAAAGATGTCAGCAGCTTTAAATAAATTAGCTTTCATATATAATTTCATCCGATTTCATCAAAATGATGTACCAAATAACTAAAGTTTGTCCGCTTAGGACGAATTAGTGCACAACGTACCAAATCGAACCTAAAATAATGTGTATTGGATTTTGTGTCGAGATAAATTTTGGATAGCGCATAGTGTTGCAGCATACCAAATGATGGATGCACGGCTGCTCAAAGACGTCCATTTATATATAAAGATCTTATAGATATTTTGCTCGATGATTGGCATTAAATTTTTCATAGATTTCAGATCTGTATGGATTGTTTTAATTTAGTTCAAATATCTCAAACTTCACGCAGTTAATTTCGTTAGATTCCATTTCAATGGTTCTCCAAAGATGATATGTCTATTCTCTCTAAAGGATTTTGTACATATGAGCATCTCTTATATGTAACCAAAGTGGTGAAGGGTATCATATAATCGGCCCCGTCCGACTTTTGAACTTTCCTTACTGGTATTTTTTTTTAAATTTGCACGAAATTTAGCAAATCGTAATGATTTGAGTCTAGAATGATGTTTGCCATGTTTCGTAAAAATCGGTTGCGATTTAGATATAATTCCCATATATATTTTCGTCCGATTTTACGTAAATGGTTTACCAAAGTCCCTATATATCTTTCGAATTGAACGAAATTTGGCACGTCGTATTGAATTAAGTCTAAAATGATGTGTGGCAAGTTTCGTAAAAATCGTTCCAGATTTAGGTACACCTCCAATATATATTTTCTTCCGTTATTAATGTTCCTTCGAGGGAACATTGACATGAAATT